CTTCTACTGCTTGAGAAGTGCCTTAGTGCACACAAATGTATATTCTACTGCATTACCGACATGTGCTGGCAATCTCTCAAAAGCAAGGTGCCACAAATGAGATGCAGGAATGTTTAGCTCCAGCCTCTAACCTTATGCAAAGAAGGCAAGAGACTCTAGAATTAAAATGTGTCTTCTGTGCCTACCATGTGACTCACACACAAACTACTGGTACAGCTGTGCTGTGGGGCAATTGAAAACCTGTAATTTCCTCCTGCAGATGATGCCCCTGGGACAATTTACAGAGCAAGCATCTGCAGTTGCTTTGGCTTGCTTTCAGCATTTTGAACCAAACCCTGTCATTCTTTAGCACACATCCATTTTCTGCAGTACTGGGAGTGCAGCGTCTGGTGGCCTGAGGCAGAATTTCTAATTTGTCCAAAAAACATTCAGCATAAGTGCCATGTGATAATTAATCAGTGATCATTAAAGCAAGAGTTACTCATGATGTCTCTGATGCTTATTGAACCCTTTTCTTAGTATTTTAATCACAGTATTGCCTTGGTAGGAGTTCCCTTTATTTAAAACAAATGTTGTGCCTTGCACAATGTTTTAGGGTGGGTTTTTTTCCAGAGTCCTTAGAGTCATTCCTAATGATTCTTTTCCTCTCTTAATAGTTTATTAAAATAATCGTGAAAGCAGCACCATGACTAAAATAGTATCTAGATCAGGAACTCATACATATCAGATGGAAATGTTTGGGTTGGCTTAAGCTTCAGTACAGACATTAAGCAGCATTACTACACCAGAACATTCACTCCCCAGAAAATGCGACAGGACTAAGGCTCACTGATTAAGAAGATGTAAAATAGGAAAATAAAAGAAAGGGAGAAAAAGAACAAAATCTGCCACCTCATAGAGAAAAAAAAGGAATTGATTTTCCAAAAGTGCAAACTCATAATTTAAAGCAAAGTGATTTTGAAGTCTATGCTTACATCAAACCAAGAAGGATTTGATTTTTTATGAGGAAAAGGAAGTGTTATCCTGCTGCATGTTTCAATGTTTTAAACGTTCTGATTCTATGAATTTGAAAGTTCATTTTCAAGAGGCATACAGGGATTTGGTTCTGAGAATAGTGTTTTCTAGACCCAACTCCTGACTAGTGAGGACAGGGATTATTAAGATGTCTGTGGTGCATGGAGCAAGAGCTGGGTTATTCAAAAGAGCAGAGGGTAAACTTATTTCTGTCCTGTCAAACTCTCAAATTTCCTTTGGGAGGTTCAGTGTTCACACAACAGAAAGCAAACACTGATATGAGTTAATACCTTTCCATCACTAAGCCAAAGCAGTTGCTCTCCATCAAGGGATAAAAAATAGCCACAAGACCAACTTTAGCTCATGACCTGTCATGTCATGCTAATACTCTTTAGGCTTCCAACATGGCATTGCAAAGTAAGGTGTTAACTGCAGTGGCAAGCTAAGGGGAAGATGTAGATACATATCAAAACTTATATATATACTGTCTTCACATAAACTTTCACCTTTACCGATTCTTTTTTATTCCCAGGCCTTCTCTGATCTAGCTTTTCTTTACGCACTACAGCATCTGAATTTTACAGGCTAATCTCACATGTATGTCTCTCACATATATCATACCAGCCTCAGCACTTTTTGACGTTATATTAGTATTACTTTACAGCTTAAAGCTTACACTTGGTTGCTACTCAAAGCAATCTTCCTGGGTAAGCCCAAGCACTGTAACTTTACAAAAATGCCATGAATTTAAGATGGATATTTTTCTAACAAGTAAAATCACTTTAATATTTTCTTGGTAAAGAGCTAGCTCTGCATATTCACAGTTCATTCACTTACACTGAATGATATGAGCCTTGCAAGCAGCTGGTTTCTTCTACTTGTACTTCTGCAGAGACGAAAACCTTTTAAGGGCTGACACCTATGATGACCCCATTTCAAGAAACTCTGTTATTTCAGTCAGCTAATCTATATTCGTTTTGTGGTAGTTTTGACTGGGATAGAGGTAATTTTTTAAGCTGCCCTTATCTGAACCCAGGAGTTTTCTTCACTTAAACTCTTCCATTTCTCTCCCCCATCCTAAGTGGTGCTTAGTAGAACCCATACAGTCCTTTTTGACTTCCACTGTGGGGCTAGAAGGGTTCAAGATTATGGCAGATTGAAATATGCTAGCCTGAAGTTATAGCTGTTCTTGATGTTTAGCTATTAATTGATGGGCTCCTATGCTTGCCATGGGGCTTGCTTGACTGACTGTATGATTGTAATGAGCCCAGTGCTCATAAGTGGCTGATTTTTGCTTTCACTGCTTGTTGTAGTACTGTGCTGCTTACTATCAGCGGGAACCACCCCAATTAGTGCAGGACAATCCTTGCGAGGAGCAGTGCAAGTGCAGCAGTGACCAGCCCAAGCTGCCTTTGGTGCCCAGTAACTCCATGCAACAGACCAGCTCTCCTGTCCTGAGCTACCACCATAACAGATGGAGCCCAAAGTCATGGACTAAATAAACTCAGTGGACGTTTGTAGACATTTTACATGCATTGACATGCAGGAGTGGTCCACAGACTGGGGGAATGATATCTGTGTATCAAAAGATGGGAAGGCAGCAGGGTTTTTACAGAGGATGTGTTGGATAGTGTGGGGCCTGAGCATGACATAAATGGTATGGAATAAGTGATAGAGAATGTGCTGATTTTGGCTGGGGTAGAGTACAGGGCTATGTTTTGGATTTGTGCTGGAAACAGAGTTGATAGTACTGGGATGTTTCAGTCACTGCTGAGCAGGGCTTAGAGTAAAGTCAGGGCATTTTCTGCCTCTCATCCCACCCCACCAGTAAGGAGTCTGGGAGTGCACAATGAGTTGGGAGGACACACAGCCGGAACAGCTGACCCCAACTGACTAATCCCATATGCACTGTGCTCAGCATATAAAGCTGGGGGAAGGTGGAAGAAGAGGGGCATGTTTGGAGTAATGGTATTTGTCTCCCCAGGTCACCATTATGTGTGGTGGAGTCTTGCTTTCCTGGAGATGTCTGCACACCTGCCGGCTATAGGAAGTGGTGGATTAACTCCTCGGTTCGCTTTGCTCACATGCATGGTTTTTGCTTTGCCTATTAAACTGACTTTATCTCAACCCACGAGCTTTCTCACTTTTCCAATTCTCTGTCCAATCCTAATGGGGGGGGAGTGAGCGAGTGGTTTTTGTGGGGCTTAGTTGCTGTCTGGGGTTAAACCATAACATGTTGCCACATGCCACAAATCATTCCCCACAGTATTGCTCTCGCACTAAGATGAAGTGGCAGTTTCTAACAAGATCAGGAGAAAGGATATCAAACTACTATAATCTCTTTTAGCTCAGGGGGCTGAGATTTTCACGAAGTGCTTACTTTAGTTCATCACTAGGACTAAATAATTTTGCTACTTGAAAACCGCAGCAGAAGAGTTCTTTGTACTTGACTCTTGCCACATACACATGCACAAAAAGATTATTTAGGCAAGAAAGATTTAAGTAAATGCAAATTACATAAAACTGACAGGTCATTCAGCTGAAATGCTCATGCCCTAGTCTTAAAATTTGGTACAGTGATGAAATAACATTAATGTGATAAGGCAAATGTCAATTTAATGTTAACAGAGACAACAGTCTTCTAGATAGTGTAGTTTATGTTACAGAACCAGGCTTTGTATTTGCTTTTTGATAAAGAAACAGGCAAAACATACCTAGTGGTATCTGCTGCTCTGTTTGAAGA